ACTGTCTGCGACATACTCCCCCAAAATAGGGTGACTATGTATTCACATCGACTATGCTCTTGTTAGGATTTGTGGAAATAATGGTTATTTTCTGTTGCATCATCTCAAACTTAAATATCTGATTGATCACCCTCTCACAACTAGTACTGGAATTTTTACTTATATAGGAATGTTAAATCTCATTTAACATATGTTACAATTTATGGCTTTCTGAAAGGCATTGTAATTCATTGCCGTACTTGGTATTAATGTTTGCGTGTAATGATTTGTTTGCAAGATGTGTTACTTTCATTGTTAGAGGAAAACATCACTCAACAGTATCTATGATATATGTGGCTGCTTTCGAAACCGCATCGTTATTTATTGATGCCGTGAAAGTTGCACTGTAATTGCAGTTGGCGTCGTGTTACCAGTTGAACAGATATTTTAGCCCATATTCATACTATGCAACAGATGTAGAGATGACTGGAACATAATCGACATCAACATCATAGCTGGACCACGTAAAATACACAGCACCATGCCCACTTCTGTCTCTCTTGACAAAATCTCCCATGCTACCTACAAAAAGGATGAAACAGTTTTTTTTTAATAAACATCCTACTCAGGAAAATTTGCCGGAATTTGAGGATACCAAGAGCAAGGACTCGTAGAACAATAAAACAAAAAAGACGTAGCAGCTGGAGACATGTGTTTCCATGTTGACTACTAGCACTCCACAACCCGGGTTAAGAGTAAACCTAAAAATTAACACTTCCACTTTTACAATAAAATCAATAAAAACTCCTCATCTGCCAATTATGACCATAAGTTTCAAACGTATCAAAAGCAACAGGAAGTGAAGATTCAGATTCTGAATTTCAAATCAGATAATTTAGAATATTACAATGAGTCGTCTTCCTTCAGCTAACTGCAAGAGGCTGTAAACAAAGCTCATGATGCATCTTCGGGACCAGATCCACCATAAAATGCTGAAACATCTACCTGTAAGATCTCTTTTAGCGCTCTTATTCATTTTTAATGATATCTAAGAAACGGATACTTTATCCCCTTTCTTTGCACGAGGCAACTATCGCTCCTGTGCCTAAACCAGGAAAGGATAACACAAATCCTTCCAATTCCAGACTCAATTTATTTACAGTCAACACCCTACAGTTGTAATATATGCCTATGATAGTCACAATTCTACAATAGACTGATTTTAGCAGAGGTTTTCAATGGGTGTGAAAGTATTTTGTCACTTCTATTTAACAAGATGCATCTGTAAAACCATGGAAAGCTTGATCGACAGGCATCTTGTCTGGTACCTGGAATCCAATAATGATAACTGATATTCAGTCTGGTTTCAGGCATCAGAGGAGCACCATTGAAAATCTCATTATATTGGAATCATTTGTACGCATTGGTTTAAGAAATTAAAAAAACCCATCTTGTTTCATTCTTTTTTTTATTTAGAGGAGGCATATGACATAACATGGACATGTGGTATTTTGAGAGACCTCCATGATATGGGTCTTCGTGGTCGCATGCCTGATTTTACAATAATAGTCCACTTGTAACGCGCTGAATCCATGCACAGTACATGCTCTAAGCGCACATGTCCGAGAGGAGATGACAGAAGTTACACAGAGAAGGCAAGTCTGAACAGAAAAAGGTCTTGAGTTCGGTCTTAAACGATGACAATGATTCTTTAAAGGAACTGGGGCAGAGAGCTCCAGGCTTCAGTGGTTGAATATGCAAATGTTCTCTCCACATAGCAGGATGTTTTTACCATGGGAACATGGAGCAGGGCTTTGGTTTGTGAACGTAGAGGTCTTGCTGGCGTGTGGGTGTTTAATCAGATCGGTTATGTAGGTAGGAGCCTGACCGGACAAAGACTGGAAGACAAGACAAAGGAATGTGTAGGTGATACGGTGTTTATACGGACCCAGTGAAGGCTATGGAGAACAGGAGCGATGTGCTCTGATTTCTCAGTCAGTCTAACTATCCTTGCTGCAACATTTTGAACCCATTGTAAGTTGTTAAGCTGCTGTTTAGTTTCTCCATACAGACGGAAATTACAATAACAATAATTACGTGACACAATTAACGCCAGGACCAATGTGACAGTAGAGTTCTTTGTCAGGCACTTGCGAGCATTACCAATATTCCTGAGGACAAGAAAGCAGGTTTTAGTACGTTTGTTGACATGACACTCGAGTGAAAGATCAGAGTTGAGAGTGACCCGATATTCTTGACCCCAGCCGACAAAGTGGAATTCACGGATTCCTGCCTGAACCCTTCTATCCTGAGAACCAACGAGAAGACTTTCACACTTTGATTCATTCAGCTTAAGTCTGTGTACTTCCAGACGGGACCACCGCTCAGCAATACGAGCATTGGACCTTTAGAAGATAATTGCAACTTTGCCCTAATACAATACATAAATAGCCTTCGGAGAACGGGTTTAAGTTTTCCAAAACCAAAACAGGCTGTATTCAGTTTTGCAAAAACGGAAACTAGATAAAGATCCAGAATTGGCTTTGAATAATATTCCACCCAAGCCATTTTTTTAACTTACCTTTGATCAAACGTTGTCCTTTATACCTCATTCTACAAACAGTTGTGTGAGAGAAACGTCATAAACGGTGATCACTACTTGCAATATATGATCCACTTGTCATAGATTATGTTACTATCAAAATAAATCTTGGGTATAGTTATCTGTTTTCAATAACATTAAGTACAAACATATCATGTTTGCTTTATATCAGTTTTAGCCATGGCGAGCAAGGAGGACAGTGATGCAGGAGTTCCCATGACAGAGTTACATTGTCAAGGAGGAGACAGACGTGAGCCCACACCACAGAGAGAATCATGGAGCAGACATCTGGACTACATGCTGACAATGGTTGGCTACTGTGTTGCATTAGGGAATATACTGAGGTTCCCCTACATCTGTAACAGGAACGGTGGAGGTAAGAATATATGTAGGTTATTATAGGATATTGCAAAGGATTAGCAAGACAGCAAATTGCAATACCTGTATAATCAATAACATATTTCAAACACACACACACACACACACACACACACACACACACACACACACACGATCCAATAAACATGTACATGAAGCCATTTGGGAAAAGCTGTAAAGTGTAAGGTCTTGAATTCCCACGTTATTTCTGATGAATAAGAGGTGGATGTGTTTGAAGACCAACATTGCCGCAAGGTTAGTCTACTTCTTAATGGAGTCCCTCTTAAGGGAGGGGCCTGATTAAACTGAATGTATGCGATCGCTAAAATGGGGCCTTAAACACATCCTATTTTATGGTAGCTACTGAGGTTCCCCTACATCTGCAACAGGAACGGTGGAGGTAAGAATATATGTAAGTTATGTTTTATGATTCTTGGAGACAGCAAATGGCTAGACCTGTATGATGTGTGACACAATTTGGAAACACACACACTATCCAATAAACAGGCAAATAAAGTCATTTTGAAAAAAAAATGTATTGTCTCAGGTCTTGAATTCCCACGTTATGCTTGATGAAACAGTGTTCCCTTCATATAACGACGTGTCAGCTTGATGTGGAATACAGGAATGGCGCAGGAGATACCTGGATACATTGTTAACTTGAAGGGAGAACCCGGTATGACCAAGGTAGACTACACTGCAAAGCGAATTGTGCCCTGCTGTTATGGAAACTTCGTATCTGTAACATACCTTCTCAATCTCAAGGGGGGCGGTGGGGTAGCCTAATGGTTAAAGCGTTGGCTCGTCACGCCGAAGACCCGGGTTCGAATCCCCACATGGGCACAATGTGTGAAGCCCATTTCTGGTGTCCCCCGCCGTGATGTTGCTGGAATATTGCTAAAAGTGGCGTAAAACCAAACTCAGTCAGTCAGTCAATCTCAAGGCATGTTCAGTTGGAAGGCCTAGCTTAAGTTCATGGATGTAATGCATATAACCTGGAAGAGTCTTATTAACTCAGCTAGTACTCATGTGGGGAATCGAATCTGGGTCTTCAGCTTTAACCACTAGGCTACCCCACCCACCCAGTGAAATAGCACTTTAACCAAGTGTTTCTTTTTTTCACATTCTGCTTTTCGTCACTTACGATTGTAATCAATGACAAATTACCCTTTGGAACTCTGTTATTACTTGAACACGTGACTACATATTCCCCAGGAGCATTCCTCATACCCTTCGTCTTAATCCTGGTCACCACCGGGTTCCCATCATTCTTTGTGGAGGCGACCATCTCTCAGTATTCGGGAAAGGCTGCCAAACAAGTCTGGAGCTTCTGTCCCATGTTTAAAGGTCAGTGACAATTCTGTTTAATATGACCGTGTATACTATATACTAATGAAAGGAATTAACATTTGAGACAAATATATAATGTTTATATATTATTTTGTATTTCCATCTTTTGAAGTTACATTTCATAATGTTTTTGATAATCACGTATGATCTTGGATTATCTTTTGTGTGTTGAATGTGTATACATGATGTGATCCCTTATTACCACTTGTTTGCAGCTCACTGGATGTTTTATAGTATAAATGTAGTCCGTTTCTATGTCAAATGTGTTCTCTTCACGGTATGGCTGAAATATTGTCGATGTGACGTTACGTTTTAACTCACTCACTCACCTTATTCTCAGTGATCCATTCCCACAATTGTCTCGACTGTGTGGCCTTTAACGCCTGATGTAATCAGTTTGGGGGACAAATAAAGTAAATGGTTAGGATATTACCTTGTGTTGACGTTTTAAATTTGCATGCCTTCGACATGTTGCGTTTTCCAGCAGATATAATGAAAACACAATGCCTTTTAGAAAGTTGTCAAATGTAGCATATGTTCTGTTTGGGATTAATCCTAAATATAACATATGTTGTTACACACACACACACACACACATATATATATATATATATACATATATATTTATACTGTATTCTTGTTCCTGAAGAAGGCGTATAATTGGGGTTTTGTTGTATCGACAACCAGGAGTTGGCGTTGGCGCTGTTGTTGTTGCATTTGCATACATGCCCTATTACAACCTGTATCTGGCCTGGCCCATCTACTACATGGTGAAGTCCTGCTCCAGCGTCCTGCCCTGGACAACTTGTGGCAACAGCTGGAACACCGACCTGTGTATTGACTACGTGAATACAACGTACAGCAGTAACAAGACAGCCCATGCAAGGAATACGTCATATACCATCACCAAATCTGAAAAGTGGGAAAATGTGACTCTAGCTCACACACCTGCGGAGGAGTTTTGGCAGTACGATATATCTATCATGATATTTTTATCAGGACACGCTTTGTCGAAATACGTTTCCCGTATAAAGATTCTTTGCGACAACATGGTGCTCCTGTTTAAAAAGAATGTATATATATATATGTATATATGGTTTGAAGTTGATTTTAAATATCTCTCGTTTTGTATAAATAACTTTATGTGTAAATTTGTATTGGAAATCCAAAAGCTTTGTGTACATGTCTTGAAAGGTCTATATTGCACAAATATGGTCTTCTAATAAATATGATCGTTTAATTCACTTTCCCATTTATCGCATACGTTTAGAAAACTGGATTTAGATATGAGACTATCGTAAAATGTTCTTGATCCTTTTGTAAGTTTAATAAGATCATTCCAAGGGGAACATAGCAATACTTTTGTTATGCTTGGGTGTCCAGCTGTTTGAATGACTTCGCTCCTAACCGAAGAATGTGTTCTATTAGAAAAACGGCTAGTCTCTAGAAGTTTGATTTTAAAACGTATCTCTTCAAACAGGATTTTTTTAATGAATCAATAAAAGTTTTAACATCAGCCATCCTGAGTCTTTCGCATTAAATTGATTCTTTATACACGTGATCACTTTCAAAATGAGCTTAAAGAATTCTATGGGGAAACCATTTAGGCCAGGGCTTTTATTGTTTTTCATATTAACAGCAAGTGAAAGTTCCTCGAGAAGTATTTCACGTTCTAATTCATCTGACTGGTCTTGTTTAAGGAAGGAGTGGCAATAGTTTGGAATACAGCTTTACTCTCGTCATCGATTACATTACTTGATTTATACAATGTTTCTTAAAAAATATTCTGTTCATTCATTATTGCTTCTCCGTCTGTTATTTCATAACCAGTATCAATAATAAAAGAATTAATAAGTTTGTTTGTGTAGTTTCTTTTCTCCAGATGGCAAAAGTAATTAGTAGGTTTCTCCCCTTCATCATACCATTGGATTCTTGTCACATTTCATACCCTGTGTTTGGCTTTCAGCTACAATGTCCTGGGTGTCTCAACAGGCTTGGAGGATGTGGGGTCTCTGCAGTGGCACACTGTTGGATGTCTCTTGTTTTCAACTGTCGTAATCTTTTTATGTCTTATTCGTGGAGTCAAGTCTGTTGGTAAGGTAATGTTCACAGAAATTCTTCATATCACTGATAACATCTGTAACCCTCCCCTTTTAGTATTGAATACACTGATTCCGAGCCTACTATTCCACACAACATCCACTCAGATACGGGTAGATCCTTTCAAAGTTCAGATCTCAATATTTACAAACTGTACACGAGTTCTTTGTTCAACAGGAAACAAGACATAAGTTCCCTAAGCGTACTGTGCTGACTCGCTAGTCGCAAGAAGTCACTAGGGAGGATCGGGTTGTCCGGCTCAACGACACTGTGTACACCCATGCTCCTGATGTCAATCACTCCCACTTTGATTTACTACCAGTATCACTCAGTGAGATCGTTGGTCCCGAACGAGCTGTCCAATTTATCTGTGCCGGTCCCCAAACTTTTAAGTCAATTTAGGTCTACCAAGCTTTTTAATTGTATAATATTTCTTATTTTAAATTATGGCTCAGTTTTCCTACCATCGCCAGCGGCTGATGGGATGGTGTAAATCCAGCTAGGGTCCATGCAGGTAACAAAGGTACTGTAAGTCCCCGAGGTCCCCAGTATGGTGATCTACCTTCAGTTGTTGGCGATATATAGCCTGTTTTTAGTTTGTTTTGTCCAAAAAATGATATTTATTATAAGTTAAGACACTACTTTCAATTCTAACTGTGATAATCTAGTTTGTCACTCTCCTTTGATGACAGATTTTGTAACATAAACATATTTTCTATCAACGTCAAAATTATTCTCGTCACGATATGGCTGAAACATTGCCGATGTGACGTTAAATATTAAGTCACTGTTTGTGCCTATCGCAATATCTTGGCAGGTATCTGTATCATAATATTATGTATCATGATACAATCGTTTTTACTGGGATTTATCTACCGAAACAAATTCGAAAGAACTATCCCACATCAATGATCCATTTGATTATGGGAGTTATGTAGGATAGCCAAGTGGTTAAGGCCAAAGACCCGGATTCGATTCCCTATATGGGTACTATATGTGAAGCCAATTTCTGATGCCCACCGTGATATTGCAGGAATATATATAAAACCATATTCACTCACTTACTTACTAGCTGTTGTGTGTAAATATCCGTTATATTTAATGTAAATAATATTTGATTCACCAGCTAATACATAATTCAAAGTCTTCGTAATCCAGATAATATAGATGCCATGAAGGTCACAGCATGTCCAATAACTTGATCTGTCCCTCCCTGCAGGCTGTGTACGTGACTGCGCTGCTGCCGTACGTCCTCCTCATCTCCATCTGCATCACAACGCTGCTGCAACCAGGTGCTCTAAATGGCGTGTATTACTTTTTCATACCTGACTTCAACAAACTACTTGACATACAGGTGTGTTTAAATTGACGAAATTCAAATCTTTGCATTTCTATGTATTTCCTTACAACCCGCGGCTTCCAGTGTTAATGAAAACTGACCAAACAGGCCCGACTTACATTTTATATTTGACCAATTTCTAAAATGGCATTGCGTATTCATTGATAAAATAGTATTCAATTTCGAGTTCTTGAATCGTGTAACATGCTTGAAAACACTTTTATGTTTCATTCCATAACTTCCGATGTTTTCCTTCTATAACATTCTGTGACTATGTAATGTAATCATTAATGTCATCATAAATCACTGCTAATAGCGTCGTATATCGTATTCTTCCCAGCATATCATCATCATGCGTTTATGTCTGTAACATGCTGGAGCTGGACTACATGTACGCTATCCGCGAAGAGCTGCGAAGCTGCTGTTGCGGCTTTACGAAACACGGACAACGAATGTGTATACCTGATGTGATCCTTTATTATCAGTTGCTACTGTCTATTGACGACAGGTTTTTTCGTATAAATGTTGTCCTTATCAATGTCAAATTTATCTCTTCACGTTATCGCTGAAATATTGTTGATGTAAATAATCAATCACTGATTCACTTGTTTTACTGTCCTTTGACGACATGTTTAGTAACGGACATAAATCTTTATCAGTGTCAAATTTGATCTCGTTACTATATGGCTGAAATATTGCTGATGTGACGTTAAGTATTACCTCAGTCACTCACTCAATAGCAGTCTATGTTGAGACTATGCTGGGATATTCTGGCTTCTTCTGATGCTTCCAGACAAATATCAACTCCCTGTTTAAATACAGTAATTAGCATACCTCTCCCATCTACTGAATGTTGATAGGAACAATGAAGCAAAATAATTCTGTTTGACGATGAATTACATTACCACTTTACATAGGTGTGGCTGGAAGCATGTTTGCAAGTGTTCTATTCACTGGGAGTTGGATTCGGGATGATTGGCACTGCTGCGAGCTACAACAACTTCCATGAACCATGTCTCCGGTGAGTTTAAAACACAACAGAGCGATAACATGACAAAGTATCAAACTGAAACCTTAAATGATTACTTAAGACAACAGGACTGTTATTACGTTTGCGTGCATTACTGACAAACACTTTGGACATAGACGTGTGTTCTATCACTGCAATGTCAAGGAAACTTTACAAATGACACGTAGCATTATAAGGATCAGATGTGTATAAAACTGAATGTCTGAAGGTGTGTACAGCTATAATCATAGACTCAGCGCAACCAGAGCAATCGTGTGGCAAAGCTTCTCAATGAAACGTTACATGATTGGCTGTGATTACATCCCAGAAAGTTGCATTTTTTAACCCAGAAAATCATCATTATTAAAATAGGTTTGGAGGTCTTTGAGGTGGTTTAGTTAGGTGTTCCGTGTTAGGGGCGAATAGGCTGGGTGTAATATACAGTGGAAGCCCTCTTAACCGGCAGTCCTCCAATCCGGCATGCACTCAGTATCGGCAATTTGGTCTCGGTCCGAACGGATGCCGGTTTAGAGGGCTTCCACTTTACAAACCTCTTGAAGACAGAGACGTTTTAATATTTGTTTCATCATTTGGTTATTCAAGTGAATGTACGGATGTCGATGTGCCACCTTTATCTCTAGCAATGTAAGGATAATAAAGTGATACAATTGAATAGTTAATAACCTGTGTGTTTATATTCACAGAGATAGTATCATATTGACGATTATCTCAGAAGGAACCAGTATCTTCTGTGGCCTGGTGACCTTTGCTGCTCTCGGAGTCATGTCACAGAGAACGGGCGTTCCCATTGAAACTGTTGTCACAGGGGGTAGGTAATCTGGGGTTTTCGTATTAAAAAACAAACACCTATTTATGTGAAAGAGTAAAGGAAAGTGATTAGAGGACTGCTGAAAACGAGGTTTCATATTAACTAGTTCAATGGTATATTGTGTTTGGGACACAGTTGAATTACGGGGCAAGTGATAAGGCCACTGCTTGAGGTCACAGTGTAAGGATACTGTCACGGAATAGCCCTAGGGCGTCATCATCAACATCACAACACAACACAGTATGAAAATTAACAACATAAGTTTATTCAAAAAGATATTACAACACACACGCTTCCACACATGAAACATCCATCTCCACACTCACTGTACACACACTGCATAATCCCTACAGGTAAACCCCATTCACTTACTCATACGTCAGTCTAAGTCTCACCCGACTCTCACAACACTTTCCCAACACTCGCTTCTTAACACCCTATATCACACGGACAAGCAATTACGTTACACACACACACACACACACACACACACACACACACACACACACACACGTTAATATTATAATAAACTAAGCATTAATATCTACACTTTAATTAAGTGACAACAGATCATACATGATTACATGATTCGTACAACCATATTCACAATCTGTGCCAGCCAATGAATATTAAACTCATTAAAATGTACTGTAAATGTCCGTTCATGTCACACATGAAGGTCTCAAGACTCTCAGATGCATCGTCATCTAGGCCTCTGTCGCTGGGTCCTCTCCAAGTGTGGTACACACACTCAAGTGTAAGAAAGGGTAGACTACTCAGGCGGCAACCGGCTCGATCATCCCGGGGTTGCGACGTATTTTCGTCACACACTATAGTCCGTTTGACTTCATTTGAGACCGAGGAATTGCTCACTAACACAAAATCTAATAAATGCAACAAAATCAAACTTTGCACAGTCACGTGAAATCGACAGACCAACTCTGGTGATTTGTCTCATAATTTTGGACACCCGAATAAAAAAGTTGTTTAACAAACGATCATTATTTTGTTGTCACTTTTCGCTGCTTCTTACGAGGGAGGACCACTTGCTGATTGACCAGCCAGGTGTGCGAGTTGTACGTGTGAAATTGAAATTTCACTGCACACGCTTGTTGATTACCTGGCTGTCACGTCACATGCTTCCGATTCTGGACCGAAAGAGGGCGTTGTTCCAGCATGACAGCGCTACTTAACATACAGCACGCGTCACGGTCCGCTGCCTTGCCGATTCTGACGTCAATGTCTTGTCATGGCCTTCCCGATCACAAGATCTAAACCCGACAGAACACCTAGAATGAACTCGATGGAAGTGTGCGTCAACGTCAAAACACGCCTCCGATACTTCCACAACTGGTCATCGTAATGAAGGAAGAGTGGGGAAGAATTCCGCAAGAGCGACTTCGTTAACTTTTGCGTTTCTTTTTCTTTTCCTTTTTTCTTTTCTTTTTTGCAGAGAAGTGAATCAGACATCATTTTGTCACTGATACATCAAACTGTACCATATTCTTCACAAAACTCCAATAAAACATTTTGAAAGCTTTACTGACAACTTGACTGTTGCAAGCTTGATCCAAATGAACAAGAGTCATGAGAGGCTCGATTGTACCTCAAAATGTGTTAAATGTACACACCAAAGGCTGGAGGTGTAAGAATATTGACACAAATGTAAAGCTGAAATCCGTAATCTGATGGTTCAAACTTGTAGAGTGTTTTTGACACTCTGAAACTTTATGAATGGATCTAAATTTAATGCACATGAAGTGGTCTCACTGGTATACATTGCATGTAGTTCAAATTCAGGTTGGTAAATCTGTGGAAGGGAAGTGGCAATTTGTTTGATGTTGATCGATAACACATATGTCAGAAGCTTAAGTTGTCACAATTACCTTGTTTCGATTATCAATAGGCACACGGATTGACACGGATGTGAAATACAGGCGAAGTTCACAATTTTACAGTGTTAATGATAATAATAATTTGGGTAAGATAATCAGGGCCTGTATGCAAAATGAACCATATAAACATAAAGTTCAACCCCGGACTACAGTCATCCACTAACAGCTTGAAGACGCTATTATCCTTGCAAAACAAAGTGTTTAGTTTCAACATTCTGAATATATTGGTTTATGCTGTATATCGCGTTTCTATTGTAGGTCCAGGTTTGGGATTTGTGACCTATCCAGACGCTCTCGCACAACTTCCGGTCCCTCAGCTGTGGTCATTCATGTTCTTTCTGATGTTGTTCATGGTTGGTTTGGATTCACAGGTACAATATGTAGTGTTCAATTCAATGTTTTAATTCGTTATGGCAACTGTGGTCCAAATATAAAATGGCAGAATATTGCTTTGGGATTGCTTTGAATCGAGAGTAGAATACGACTGTACGACACTGATGTTTATGAACATATTACTGGCCCGCGTTTCACAAAGGCCTCCTACATTTAGGAGGTCGTAGCCCATACCACCTTGTTTACGACCCTCTTCCGACCTCCTTTACGACCGTTTCACAAAGACCTCATATCCATGTCGTACGACGCGGTCCTAAATCCATGTCGTACATTGTATAAGAGGTACTTTGTTGCATAGCAACGCATAAAGCGAGACCGAACGGGCACCTGCTTATCTTGATTTTCTAAATGAGTCAATATATTTTGTAACATTTTTTTAAACAATCAAAAACTTTCAAAGAATAAAAACGTATACCCTATATGCACGTATGATATGAAATTAAACAAGGCTAAATGCCCTGATGTACTGAAATTGGTTTCATGAAAAAAAATATCTGAACGATACGCAAAATAAACGTCAAAGTACCGTGAATTCCGGTATTAAAGCCCCGGGCTTAAATACGGAAAATCACTGTTCTAGTGATGAAATATTTAAACCATATTTAAGCTTAGGGCTTAAATTCGAAAATGCGCAATATATTGATAAAATAAAAAGAATCGGGTTTTCAAAAACCTCTTTATCAGGAAACTGATCTATAAGTTCAAAACTGAATGACCACAAGGTTCAGTTTAACTGCAACTGCATGCACATCATAAGGGTTAAGATGATCAATTTCTGTCACTAATAACTGCCCTGTAACCGGTGCCATGATGTTCTGTAAACGTGATATCCTCTAGAGGCACTACTAAAGATGAAAACGTCGAGGTTCACCATGCGTTTGAAAAGGGGCGCAACTCTAAACACCAAACTATTAAATCCAAATTTAAGCCCATGGGCTTAAATACGGGGGAAAATCCTGTATTTTAGCCCATGGGCTAAATTTAGCGAGGGCCTAAATATGGGAATTCACAGTACTGAAAGTGTTATCAGAAGGATAGGGCGATTGTGTTTACTCTTTTTCAACCGACCTTCACCTCAAAGAAATTGCCTAATATGTACAACAATGTTGACGTGTGACATCACAACCGATGACCGATTTCTTACAAAATGGTGGCTTCGCTGACAAGGATACACAGGATTTTGCGAGGACTCTTCCCTTGATTCAGGGATGGTTTGTACATAAATATGAGATGTAAGTAATCAGACTATCTGACTATATGTGTATTGTTATATGTTTTCATCATTGTAAGTAAGAGAAGAAGCCAGACATGCTGATAATTACCGTTGTCGTTCTGCGTGATTTTGCGTCTGTTATGGCGTCACGCTGCACGGAAACTTTGACAATTTCTTATGAAGTATCAAATCGTTGGATTGTATCTATTTTTAATTTCCTCTTTCTTGCTATGGTACTCTTTCCATGCATATTCTAAAGGTATTGAGCCATTGCAAGCAATGAATAGACGGCTGCATGTCGGAAAATTTTAGTAAATGCTCCGCAGTGTAAAGTCGGAATTTTTCTTTGTTTACATTTCAAACTAGCGCAGTCTTCCGAGCACAGCGTTCGTTTTCACACCCAATATCTCTCGTTTCATTTTATCTAGACAGCTGGTAATGGTGACAAAGACCAGTTGTAATTTGATTTTAAAATGTATGGGGAATTCAGTGATGCATTTGTCGCAGCTGACTATGAAATATACGTGATGTAATAGGCGTCTCAATACCGGCCTTCGCGAGACTTGATTTTGCTTAACACTATCCAATAATAGCGGAAAGCGCACTTCGGCGTTCGTGTAAGTATATTTTCGAAAACGTCCCAACCGATTAAGGATCACCGGCAGCGTTTCAGATTTATCATTAGTGATATCATGAAAAACTGATTTCAATGATCATTAATATGGTATTTTTGAAATTCAATACTCCCAGTAATTATCCGATTTTCACATTTTAAAACATACTGTACAGCAAATAATGCTATGAATCGTGATTTCGTACTGTGTCAAACATGGCGACATTTACGATGAAGCCTATTTTGAAAGGTTATTTTAACAGCTTTAGCTTTGTCTGTGGATGGTATAGTGGATGGTATCAAGAAACAGGGAATTTCCCGCAAAATACAAAACAGTGAAGTATATTTGTGTACGTGATATATTTAGAATGTTATTGGACTTCAAAGTGAGGGTTAAAGAGGAAGGACATACAGACCCGCGCAAAAAGTATTCGGACACATGAAGTAATTTCCATAGACTTACATGTTATTTCAGTGTAGCATAAATACTTTTCATGAAATGAGTTTAAGATAGATCTCCGTAAAGTTTGAAATCATCTCTGCTCTGCGCACATAGTTTCAGTTCAATTTTCCGCCCATTATTTAACTAATGTCATCACAGCTATCAACTGGTTCCACAATGCCCAATCCCTTAGGCCGCTATGTTCAAGGCGTTCACGGCACTGTACGCATGTTGATTAAATTGTTGCCATTCGATAAATAAGCAACGGAAAATGGAACAGAAATTATGCAATTGAAGGTAAGATGATTCCTCACAAATATCCAAATTTTGACTTGGATCTTAAGACCATTATATTCATGAAAATTATTTATGCTACACTAAATTAACATGTAAGCCTATGGAAATTACGTCAAGTGACCGAATACTTTTTGCACGACTCTGTATCTTAATTCCTAATGCAAACATATGTATATGTCCCTGTGGCACCAAGGGGGGTTTAATCAAGTCCAGAGACTCGGCCAGAGCACTAGTGGTGTCGCGGAGTATTCTTGACACACTAGCTCTGGAAACTCCATTGGAGATCCACGATTTCACTGAGGAAAGCCCCTTTTACCAAATACCTCAGTGTACACAACACTTGCAGGGAGGTCGCAATAGCATGTGAACGCCTTGTAGGTTTGTTCAGTTGGGGCTCTAACTTTCTGCACAGTTAGAAAACAACATTCCTGGGAAATCTATATCTCGACATCATGTCAACATCATCCAGAGTGTCGAGCACGTTCGACCTGTCTCAAACTTTCTCAGGTCTTCTTTGTTAGCGCGTTTTAATCACTTGCAGTGCCATAATCGTTGACGCCATCTTTGTAGTGTTTACGACCTCCTAAAGCATTTACGACAGGTCAATGGGGGTCCTAAATTTTGGGCTGTTTACGGCACAGTGTAAATATAAGAGGTCTTTGTGAATCGGGGTAAAAAAAATAAGAGGTGGTCTACGACCTGCTTTACGAGGTCGTACCGGTAAGAGGGCTTTGTGAAACGGGTCCCTGGTTTGCATCGAGGTACACCGTCCACTGTTGTCCTTACAGTTCCTGAGTACTGAAGTCATTATTACTGCCCTGATTGACCAGTATCCGCGACAGCTGAGCAAGAAGAGGACGTTTCTAACAGGAGGATGCTGCCTGACAGTATTTCTGATTGGAATCATATTCTGTACCCAGGTGACTATGTTTACTTGTTGAACAATCCAGTAGGTCAAAACACCCAGTGTATTTAACAATGCTTACGACTCAGTGACTCATGAAAACCAATATTGAAGAACATGGAGAACTTTTAATTAATGAAACAGTGGCTGTGTCCAGATATGAATATTCCAGCAAGGTCATTAAATGTAGAATGAACCCTATTGGCAATATGAAAGCAAAGAGTTATGTATTACAACATGTATCAGTGACTGTAGTGTAGTACTAGATGCAGTAGTACTAGCAGAAGCAGCAGCAACCGTAGCAGTAGTAGTTTTGTCAGAGGTTACGACACTGCATTTGTAGTAGTAGTAGCAGCAGCAGTACTAGTAGACTGACTGACTGAGTTTGGTTTTACGCCGCTTTTAGCAATATCCCAGCAATATCACGGCGGCAGTACTAGTAGAAGTAGTAGTAGAGGGAGTTACTGTATTGGCATCTGTGGCAGACATAAGAGCAAGGAAGAGGCGGCAGCGACGACAGTGGCAGTACTAAACGTAAAAGTGAGTAAAATTTGTTAACCATAATAGTATATATTGCCTGAAGGACGATATGGACTTGCTGACTTCCTGTTGCAGGGAGGGCCGTACATGTTTCAGCTGGTCGACTGGTATGTGTTATCTCTCGGGCCCATGGTGATAAGTACAATGGAGTGTATTGTCGTTTCGTGGATATATGGTGCGTACATTTATTTATTGATATCAAGGGTGTATGCTTACTCTTAAAATTAACTCAATCCATCATGTGCTCATGATTAATTGTTTGTGTGTTGGTGGTCGCTGTTGCTCACAATATCAGTCACCGGATTGTCTGGTCCAGAATGGACTTACAGGTCACCATCAGAAAACTTTCTTTCCTCCAAGATTTTCTATTCACTTCATTTGCATACAACAGTTCCTTATAAACATTTACCAAACAGCTCATTTCTTGTCAATGAACAAGTTGAATTTCGTCCCTATATATTGTGTTGGAAGTGAAAGATCCGCAAGGGTCGATAGAATCCCGAAACTCGTTCTTTGTAGTTTACATAATGATATTAAATGTGCATTTGTAACACGCATTTTTAAACATACAAGGATATACATAGTTAGCTGTAATGAGAGGAAAACAGGTGGGTCTTCAGCAAGCGTTTGAATGGGGTAAAGTCAAATGCCGATTTTATGGGCAAATTGATTTTATGGCCATAGTTTTTATTCAGTTTTTTTCAGCTGCTAGAAGTATGTCTTCAAGACACATGTTCAAGGTACAGACGTATTCAAACGTATTCAAAGATAAACTTTCTTTATCGTGGATGACAATATATAGTTTGTCACTGTATATTTTAACTTTAAAATGTATTTACTTTGTACAAAATGATTACTTGCTTTTTATTCATGGGGTAGAGAGCCGGTCGTAACATTGTCAGAAAGTAGGTACAGTACACATATTAATAAAATTTCAGTTATGAACGCTACCTTACAATGTTTGTCAGTGTGATCATATGTTCTGTCAGGTATAACACGAATTAGTAAAGACGTTGAGATGATGATTGGCAAGCCACTGCCGATGCCTGTAAAGATCCTCTGGGCTCTGGTAACGCCGGCAATATTGATAGTAAGTACAATGCAGTTGCACGATACAATGATCGCATTGAAGTCTCAAATAGACATATGATACCTTGTATATGTGTTTAAAATATATGTGGGGTGAGGGGGGTTGCCTAGTGGTTAAAGCGTTCGCTCGTCACGCCGAAGACCCGGGTTCGATTCCCCACATGGGCACAATGTGTGGAGCCCATTTCAGGCGTCCGCCGCCGTGATAGTGCAGGAATATTGCTAAACGCGGCGTAAAATCTGACTTCCTCAATCACTCACCAAAAGTTGAGCGTATCCTACACCGACTTGGACAATTTTTAAAGTGGTATTTTGTTTAAGAACATCGCAGTAACACCTTAAGATTTTTCTTTAGTCAATAAACACGTCTCCTGAAATGTATCGGCGCCAAATACACACTAATTATACATGTTACCCTCACGACACTTTGTTTTATATCCAGATCACTTTCATCTTGACACTTCTCCGCTATCAGCCACCAACCTACGGCACGTACGTGTATCCTAGCTACGCCTCTACAATCGGCTGGCTCATTGCAGTGCTGCCCCTTCTACCGATACCCGTCTACATGGTAATGACTGTCAGGAAACACATGGCGACTAATTCCCTGAAGAAGGTGATACATTGTTTTTCTTCCGTCTTAAAAATTCTGGTGACATTTCAGATTATGCTATCCATTACACTGCTTTTCACGTTTGAATTTGAAGGTCTTTGATTTGGTAGCAGGGAAGTAGAACTTAGACAGGATTTTTGTAGAATGTCCTGTTCGGCACTGGCCTTGCAGTTTTTGCGGATGAAACATTTGTTGCTTATAAATTGCTTTTATTGACAGAGTGTACGTCTTGCCTTAATGCCTGATGATGAATGGCGACCTGCGAACTACAGAAGCAGCAAGGTTACAGGATGAATCGACAAGATAACAACCAACTAGCAGGACTATCTTCGTTTTGCTGTTCAAACAATGAAGCCTAACGCTGGTGTTTCAACCTGGTTTTTATTGTACTCAGATCCAACTTTCCAACAAGGATAATACACGCTTTAATGCAACATTTCACAAGAAACCCCTTCACACTTATCAGCAAAATTTGCATTAAACTATGGTAGTACATAGTAGAATAGAAGTATAAAATATAATAGCAGTGGTAAATACAGTGAAGTCGGTGACATGATATTTACCTAGCAGCAACAAAGGTCCAGTCTAAACCTTTAATTCATTTTTTAAAGAATTTATCAAACTAAGATTTTGACATGTTTAACCTCCAAATAGTGTTGCAAAAGTGTTGATAATATATCGCTTAAACAACCAAAACAAGTAGTGCAACAATGGACGTAGTACCTTATACCAATTCATGGAAGTTGAGTCTTCAGTTAAAGTTAAATGTTTACTGCACTTGCAGCATGCCAACATGTATCGGTATAAAAGGAATAGCGCACCATTCAATCACCTGAATAAAGAAGTTGTTCATCCATAAAGTGTATCCTTTTCTGACTCTCCAACTTCTAAAAATGCCACTCAAAAAAGTTACGATACATGAAGGAGCAACACCACGTCGCTGGTTTCGGCAGCATGCAACTGATACATACTTTTAACAAATGATCAGTTAGGTCAGCCTCTCTTAGAAGAATGGTGTCGAATCCCATTTCGGATATCAGACGTTTCACATTTTCTATCCATTGTCCAGTTGAGGAAAGGCCGGCATATAAGATAATGACGCAGGTGTTACTTTGTGAAGGATTTATATGGAATTTCATGCGCTTATTTAAGTTCAGATGGTTATTCGCATTCGTGACTAACTCGTGTTATTCCGAGACAAGCTGAATACCGACTCGTGTCCCTCGGGAGGGATACAACGAAGAGGAGAAATATGTTTGTTAAACACATATTCTAACGTAAGTATTACCAGCTAAATAGGGTTTAAAAATGACATATGGGATTTGTTTAATAGAATAATATTTTTCAGCTACCTTTAATTCCAAAACAGATACACAAAAATGACTTTAAAATATTTCTCAAACCAAACATTCGTGTAACCTTGTTGCCATATCCCTGTTGGAAGTTTCAAATGAATTAGCTGAAAAAATTTAAGTGACCCCGGAAACGTCAGACTAAAATATCCCCAAAGATGTGAAATGTAAGTCCGGTGGTAAAGATTGAAGTTTATTAGTTAATAATAAAATAAACATATTGTTTTGAAACAATTTATAATTAGCAATTTATGAAATTATGATTCCTAAAAATGTCGGAAAGCGCACGTACAATCACCAAAACAAGCCTGCAAGTTCGTCAGAAAAAGACTCAACTGGGCCCAGGACAACCATTATGTAAATATACGCGTGTATTTGAATCTCTCATCGTCCATGGCCCCTTTCTTTTATTAATAACTTCACATCAGGCAACACAATTCTGTAAGCTATAATCTTTGTATTTTTAATATGCTGATACATATTTTTCATGATTTTGAAAATCACATAATGCCATAAACGATTGAAGTACGTACTGAGGATTATTTTTTATCAAAGTACCGCACTCATTACGCGCGTTCTGATTGGTTTGTCGTATTTTCGCACATAACATTCATCGACAGAGGTACGGAAAAGGACGAGTAGTGACGAATGTGATCAGCTGGTTAAAAAACAAAAAGAGTTATCTCCCTTGGACCACAAAACGTTTCTTGAAGGTTCTCGAAAGACAGCTTGGCCAAGCAAACCGTCCAGACAAAGGCTACTTTTCCATATATGGAGTGAGTGAGTGAGTTTAGTTTTACGCCGCACTCAGCAATATTCCAGCTATATGGCGACGGTCTGTAAATAATCGAGTCTGGACCAGACAATCCAGTGATCAACAGCATGAGCATCGATCTGCGCAATTGGGAACCGATGACATGTGTCAACCAAGTCAGCGAGCCTGACCACCCGATCCCGTTAGTCGCCTTTTACGACAAGCATAGTCGCCTTTTACAAGAATGGGTTGCTGAACACCTATTCTACCCCGGATCTTCCCGGGTACTTTTCCATATATCCTTTTGATATATATACGAACATATCTCGCAAATGCGAGTTGACTTTTCACTTTATAATAGCCACAGAGAAATTTTGCTGAAAGTGTATACTTGGTGCTTTGGGACCTGATGGTGAAAGGCGTCCTGTGAACTCAGGATTACCAGATGATTCAATAACATGATAACATAATGGCGAACTCTAAGACTACCCTCGTGGAGGCAAATTAGGCAAAACATTAACTTCAAACGCCTTATTGTGATAAATGCAACCTGTAACAAATAACCGCTTCTTTGTAAATAATATGAAAACTTATTGATAAGAAATCCTTATTTTGTTTGATCACGTTGATATACTATGTGATACGATTTTGAGTTCTCTTTGCTATGTTCATTTTAATTATCTTCGAGGTATATTTCGGTGAAAAATAAATATTGAACAAAAAGGTAGTGTGCATTTGTTAGGATATTGTTTTGCGGGGGAGAGTGAAAACAACTTCACATGGTGTTGAAATACGTGACCTCTTTATATGTTTGGGACGTGCAGTTGGCTAATGCATGCAGTGCGCACATGCTGGTTTTACATGATGTTAATGGTGTTGTGCTTGTTTGACTGTGAGGGGAAACACGTTTGTATGTTTGAATTCAGTCAATGAGAACTCAAGAGAGAGTACAAAAACACAACGAAAAAACGATTATAGTAAGATAAGATAATACTTTATTATCCCGAAGGAAATGTTGGTTACATCGTAAAACACATAAGACAGAACAAAACAAGGAATCGCAACATATCACATTTCAGTAAGCACTGAGACAGTAAACAAATAAATAGATAAGAGCACTAAAACGGGTGAGGAGTAGGATATGATAAATTAAAATGTTGAGGTAAAAAACGCAGTTGTGTGAAATGGTATGCATGATGGTAAGATGTTAAGGTGAATATAAATATTTAAGATTAACTGTTGTTAAAATAATGTGATGTGGTGTGAATGTTCACTTTGGTCACCTGTAAATTAAACTGCGCTTTAATGTGACACAAATTTAGCGCATTTCGTCACAGTCGTGATGGCGTTCAAGTAAGGTGAAAGTGAGGTGAAATTGGGTTTAACGTCGTGCTTGAGAATATTTCGCTCATATGACGACATGCATGCGTGTGTATGTGTATGTGCGGCTGCTTGTACTAGCCCAGACTGAAGCTGGCTTTATAGTGCTAGCCCACTGAGAAACCATGCCGCAGTGAAGCATGAATACCCCACTCAGACTCATTACACTGACTCCGAGCCGACCAGTCCTTGTTGTACCTACTAATGCCGAGCGCCAGGCAGGGACCAACAAGTACCATATTTTAACGTCTTTTGGTATGACGCTTTCCGGGATCGAACCCGCGACCTTCCGCTCTCCGGGCGGACGCTCTAACCACTACACCACGGAGGCGGTCTGGCGTTCAAGTGAAGCAAAGCAAATTGCTAAAGAGCTGTTTGTTAGAAGATGGATTTTGATACTCGTTTTTTTCAACAAATATACTGAAACAGAGAACATATGTTATATATGGGATAAAACAGTCAGTTCTCAGTAAAGTGCAGATTCAGTTACTTGCGGAGATGATTTGAACAGGTTATACAAAGAGAATAGTGTCGAATCCCTTTTTTTTGTGGTCAGACATTTTACATTTTCGTGTTTGGACCTGTATTGATGATCCTTGTAGGTATACACGATACTGACTGACAAGGAAGGATAGGCGTTTCATGCATTGATTTCAGGTCTGATGGTTGAAGGATAACTGACTCCCTTTCCCTTTTGTTCCAACTCACGGCATAACTTATAATAGTGTTGGTGATTAATGTCCATACATGTATCATCCCTGGTATTTCGCGTGTTCTCTGTTTTATCCCGTAATAACACAATACGCTTAGTTGGCATATCTCAACGCAGTCAGACAATGCTTCAGTCATATCAAAGTAGGACAGAATTCATAACCTGTTTATATAAGGGTACATATCTACAAATCTGCATGACTTCCATGATGTAGGACTCTTGAAATGGAAGAATTCAATGATTCAGAATACTGCCCCAAAAACACAGCCAAAACAACAAAAAACGAAAATACAAATAAAACACACACTGCTTATTTATAATATATACTATTCCCAAAAGAAACGCATAACTCAGAAATCTGTTGCAAAAATGTTGTGTTTTCAAATACGTATAACTCGTCCAGAAATAGACTTTAAGAAATGAATTTTTGCATCAGTTTAGAAGAAAGAAATGTCTATACAACCAAGTGGATAATTTTAGATAACGAAGACGCTGAGCGCCATGGTGACGACGTAGAACGGGCCCGACTGGATCTCCTGGCACTCAGTTTAATCTCTTTCAACCTGTTCCGTACAGCTTGACCGGGTATCCTCCGAAGTCCAGGCACCTTGGCTGCTGTCCTCTCACCCGTGGTAGTACGCAAATGTAGTACCCGGATGTAGCGATCTTTGGCTACAGTGGTGACTCGAGGTCTGCCTGTATGGGGAGGTCATTTGTTATGCCTGTTTGGTTGTGACGAGTTTTGTAAGCCGTGATATCGTGCTCAGACTATCATTCAGACGCCTGGCAACAGAAGATTGGTAATCTCCAGCGTGCATTCTTTCAATGGCGATTTTCCGTGTCGCAGCGTCAAGACGTGGCTAGTGAAACTCCTTCTAAACGAATGCCGATTTCTAAAAGTAATCTGGAATTTTATAGCCAGACAGTGCATGCTCTTTGCTGCACAATTTCAACTGGAAGGTGATTTCTGTTGCGTTGTGGTAATGCCTTCTTAATCCCTGTCTGAAATCTCATCAAAATCCATCAAAGTCAAAGTGAACACAGTTCACAAAATCAAACTTTATTTACCTGGTGAACTCAGTTATTTGAGTTAGCT